AAAAAATTTTTTTCTGATTATTTAATAACTGCGCGGTAACTGCATATAAACATGACCATCCTGTACCATCTCCTTTCCGTGCCAACCGTCTAACTGTTGAAATAATAACAAATATTAAAAATAAATAAAATAAATAAAATATTCTTTATATATGTCGATTTATCATTTCCAGCCTTGAAAAATGGACGATGCACCCTAAGAAAAGTGGACGTTGCTATATAGTTTATATTTACTTTGTCAGAGGGCAGTAGTGCGCAACAGCATTTTGCGGTTACAGGTTTTGGGCCGTCATGTCCTCTCTCAGGTGTTTCTCTCTGTTAGTAATTATGTTTGGTAAAAACGGGCTGAAAATTTGCATAAAGAAACATAACTAATTTTATAAGATATTATAAAACAAAATTCACTAAATTAACTTGTTTGAATTTTCAATTTTGTTTATTAAAATTTAATAATTTTTATTTACACATGTAGGAGATACGAAATTAAAATTTTCTTGTTCAAGGACCCGTTAAACTATTTCTCCTATGGCACGCTCCTGTCTTGAGGATTTAGTACAGAGACGGTCCATCTACTTTCGACAATGTATAATTTTACCGATAGTGTCAGAAAATGTATATAGTCATGTAGTTCTCAAACTGAAAATGGATGTATTGACGGTAGTATACGAGCGATTTCAATGGTAATAGAAAAAAAAATGGTATGGCCTCTCTCAGGTTTTTTCTCTGCCTGCATTTGGATTATTCCATAGTGAAAGCTTTGTGGGTATGCTTTTGCGCATATTTCCAAAAGCATCAATTAGGACTTTGTCCAAATATGTCACATTGAGCGGCAAATTTGAACAATGATTTTGTAGTAATCATACTTATAAAAGCAATGTATTTAAGTAAATACATTATTAAAATACAATGTTATGTTGACATAACATTAGTATTTTTGAAAAAAAAATTCATTTTTGTTAATATACATATAGTATGTATATAATAAAATTTTATATATAAGATACATAGTATAAAAAAAATATACCCTTATCTTTATATCATGGATTATTCCATGAGAAGCCGCAATTACTTTTTAAATGACCTAATATATATATATATATATATATAATATGATAAAATAAATTAATGCACCACTAGTTTTGTATGTATTATTACCGACAAAATCGTATTATTAAAGATCGTCAATTCTAGACAAATTTTTGGCAGTATAAAAAAGATCCCAAAAGCTAAGAGATAATTGAAGAAGGTTGACATTATCGACAATTGATATAAATTTGCTATTATTAACATAAATATTTGGCTAATAATGCTTATTAAATTCATGATTCTTTATATAAATGCTTTTGTATAAATACTTCAAAATAAACATGCACTTGTAAAACTATAATATTTTATATGTTGCCGCAAGATTACAATTTTTTTTTTATAATTTCTTGATAATCAAACTTCGACGATAACATTGAAATACACGATATACTATATTAAAGATCGATATCCTTACGGAAGTTCACGTCCTTGTTAATATTAAAGTGATTAAGAGTAAAAAACTAATAATATTGTATTGAATTATATGATTTATTAGTTTAGTAGATATTTATCGGTGTATATGCATTTAAAACTCAATATTTCCACTATGATTATAATATAATACAAAGTATTAGAGTGTCAAATTAATTGATATATAATATTTTTATAGGTTACATATTATATTCGGATTGACTCATGTCATGCACTCGATATTATATAAATAAATTTTGCAACCGATAATGTAAATTGCTGCACATGCTCCAAAACGAATAATTTTATTGACGTCTTTCGAAAATATTTGAAAGACGGCTAAAAGTTTTGGAAAAGTTTTAAAGACATCTAGTTCAAGACGTCTTTTGGATGTCTTTCAGCATGCATATTTTCTGGCATTATCAACAATTGGTATTAAATTAGCGACAATAACATTAACATATAAATATTTAAATAATACATTATTTATGATTTTTTTTATTATATAAAGGTTGCACAAATAAGTATACATACTTCTAACGTTATAATATCTAATACTGCCGCAAGATTACAATTTTTTTTTACAGTTTTTTTTTATCATCTCCATTGATAATCAAACTTGGATAATAACATTAAAATCACATTTTTAAATAAAAATCGAGTGTTATTTAGTTTCAAACGTATAATACATGTTTACGATATAAATAAATCATAAAATTAGTACTTATATATTATCAATTTTTTATTCTTAATCACTTAAATTTTAACGCAAACTTCCGTGAAATTTATCGTCTTTATAATAGTATTTCGTCGGTGTCTCCGAAAGGTCGTATTCAGAACGCGTTTTTATTGATGAAAGTACGTTTTTAAAATCTAATGTCTCTAAAATTTTATAGTGTGCGTAACTATAGCATGTTAACATTCAGAATGCGCTAACATTGTTGTAAGCGCGTTCTAAATACGTGTTTCTATATAAAACGTGAACATGAGCTATACTCAGTCAGAAATGACAATGGAATTGACATCGATTCCATTGTTATTTCTCACTGGATATAGCTATATATTACGAATATTTCAAGAGGTCGATTATGTATCTTGAAATAAGATAAAAATTATCAAAAGTGAACAAATTTATTAGAATATTCATAATTTAATTCAACACTTAGTAAATTTGCTCACTTTTATAATTTTTACCTCATTCCATGATGCACAATCAACCTCCTGATGAATAACATCAGACATGGATGTACATCATGTCGATCTTTTGATTCTGTTCCTTACTATGTCCATAAAACGTCTTCGATACGCCTATAAAGCAATTACAGTCATATATGTATTCATTCAGTAATGATAACAATAATATTAAAAAATGCATGTATTTTGAAAAAATTCCGTAAAAAGAAATGAATTCATTCTAACAAAGGGATATAAAAATAAACATAGCGCTAGTTAATACAATAATATTTTATTCTTTCTACAGAAGTTTACATGTATTATAGACTAATGACATTTTATTGTATGTAGGAGGAATGTCGATCTTTTTGTAGGTACGGAGCATTTAAATGGACCATCATGTAATTCACATAAATATGTACGATTATATTAATTTGTATACGTTAAACGTGTGAATCTTCACTACTTGATAATTCAGTTGCACAATTAATTGTTATCTATTTTCATAAATTTACCAATAAAAAGTTTCAAATTTATTAACATTTTGTTCTGGATATTATAATCTTAAATTTCAGTTTATATTGGGATTTATATGTATTATGACTAATTTTATTGGCCCATAGTTGCGTAGAATATTATTTACACATAAATATACATGCACGTTGTTGAGTGAGAATTAGATCTATATAATTATATATTAAATTAATCCCAAAAATTTGTGATTATCAAGGATATTTCTGTCTAATATTATCACGCACTTTGAGATAAATATTATATAGAAATTAACCCAATTTTGGACTGAAGCTCCAATCTTCGAAATAATTGATAATAATATAATCATAAATCATTTAGTCTTCTTTCGAATTGAGAATTAAATTAATGCAATACACGTGTGTGTGTGTGTGTGTGTGTGTGTGTGTTTGTGTGTGTGTTTTCTAAATATTATGATTCCAATAATGATTTATTTCAATAGTATTTGTCTAGTATATACATATACTTTGACATTCATTTTGTAATTTTCAAGATTATTATAATTATTTCACAGTAAAATAAAATTAACTCTTCCAGTATCGAATTAAATGTACCAAATATTTAAAAATATTTTTTGTTAAATATTATTCTAATTTAGTTTTAAAATAAAGACATGAGAAATGTTTACTTTATTAATTTAAATATGTGTGCACTTGTAGTTCTTTAATTATTTAATTTATTATATATTGTATGATGTAATTGATAAAATTATTTTTTTAATAATATATATTTATTATTATTTTAAATTGATACATCAAAAAGGTAAAATGTAAGATGATTTCTTGAAAGAAATCATTAAACATAATACAATTTATTGATTATAAGGTTCTGGAAGGATTAAAAAAGCAAATGACAGAATTCTCAATCAATCATCTTACTTTTAACACGAAAATGTGACACAGTTTAATGTCATTTTATTCATTCATAGTTGGATTAGAAATTCATTTACAATTATACAGTGAATTAAAATGTCGTACAATCGAAAAAATAATTATAAAAATAATAGAGAAAATTAAACATTAAGTTATCGATAAAATTAACATTTGGGAACAATTTAAAATTGGAATATAATCGTTATATTTATTAATGTCGGAAGAATAATATTGATAAGAAGTTCCTAAAAAATTAAAATGTCGTACAATCGAAAAAATAATTATAAAAGTAATAGAGAAAATTAAACATTAAGTTATCGATAAAATTAACATTTGGGAACAATTTAAATTTGGAATATAATCGTTATATTTGTTAACGTCGGAAGAATAATATCGATAGGAAGTTCCTAAAAAATTATATATTAATCAGAAATATATCAATTCGCGTGTGCGCGATCTCCAGCATTTACATTTACACATCTATAAATATCACTATAAACTGAGGTACATGGTAACTTTGAAGTAAATATAGGTTGTGTGGAAAAAGAAAGATAGAATTTAAAAAACATTATTATATGAAGCAGCGTCTCTTTGATGCAAACACGATCTTTACAATTATAACACACGAGGGTTGAATTTGATTCCAACTTGATGTAACTCTGCGTCTTAAGAATATTATTAATTTTACTGAAGATGGCCAGATTGTGGCCGAAACGTTTAATGTTTTTATTGTAATTGATAATGCAAGAATAATTAAATATCACTAACCACATCTTGTGCTGTGGTTCTTTATGCTCTTTCTTTTCATATATTATAGAATTTAGACTTATACAATTTTATAATGCGCATTAAAAACTACAAGATATATGTATACGCAAAATAAATAATATTGGAAATTAATGTACAAATTATCGTCTTTAATGCGCTAATTAAAAGAAATAAAAGGATCGGAACGAAGAGACGATCCGGAACACAACATTATAATATAAAACCGTATTGATACCTTTTTTTGTGGCCTTAATTTTTATTCGCCACTTTTGAATTCGGATGAACCGTACAATATGATGGAATTACAATCAATGTCATACTTACTCTTATTATAGTTTAGAAACGGGAAGATAGATGTATCCCGTATATACATATACATATATATCACATATCTCTACTTTCAGGATACAGAGTGACATTACTTGTCTTAACTGTTTCGCCGTATTATGTTCTCATGATGCAGCCTGAAATAGTGAATTAAAAATAATGAATTAAAAATGACTCGTGGCTGCAGTAATTGTCATGATTCTTTTGAAACTTTCAGCTCTGATTAGTAACCAATTAGTAGCTCTGATTAGTGAGCTTTACTAATTATCGAATCATAGACCATAGTGCCGTTCGTTACTGCAGCAAAAGTCGCGTCAATCTTTGGAAGATGGGGGTGATTCTCTTCTGTTGTCACTAGAAAAATTAGATAAACCGAGACCGCCGATTTCGTGACTGGACGAGCCCGTCGGAGAATTACTGCTGCTCCTAGCACCGCTCAGAGGCGTCACGTTCGTGCTATCCGCCGGTATCAGACCCTCCTTCATACGCTTCTTTTGCTTCATTCGTCTGTTCTGAAACCAGATCTTCACCTGCGTCTCGTTAAGCTGCAGCGTGGAAGCGATCTCGATACGCCTCGCTCGCGTCAGGTACTTGTTGAAGTGAAATTCTTTCTCCAGTTCGGTGAGCTGTTTATTCGTGAAATTCGTGCGTCCTGTATTGTTGAAGCTACCGGCTATACCAGCCAACGAACCGGCGATGCAGCTCACTGTTCCGCTGGCGGTGCTTCCGTACACGGATGAGTTTGATCCCGCGGCTGCGCCGCCACCAAATTCGATTACGTTAGGATTTGCTTTCGTTGCTGAAACAAATTTATTGTTTTTCTTATAAATAGAATGTCTATGCAGAATAATTATATATTATAGATATAGATGTCATCAAACCAGTTTTAACTGATATATTCTTTAATCAATTTATAATCAATTTTTTCTTCTTTCTCGGAAAAAATAATAGAAAATTATATATATTTTTTATGGAATAAGAGTTTCAATAGTTGTAATAGATAATATTCTCGATTTTCTTTAATTTTAATTGTATTCTGTCGCAGTGTCATTTAGAATATAATTATCAAAATAACCGAAAAAGATTTTCGTTAGCTAAATATTCACCGAATAAAATTTTACTTTTATAGAAATACGTTCACTAACATATAAAATGCAAAATTTTTAATGTCACAAATGTCAATGTGATAAAAATAATATTCTTATTAAACAAGAACGATCGTTCTAATTCGGATGTAGTCTTTTAAGAGTAATAGAAAACGTAACAGACACGAACGTAATATGTGTCGAATCAAGATCAAGTCAAATCCTTTAAGTGACAGTCGTTTACTGGCCATAACAGCTGGTCACTATCCGGGGAGCAGTTTTAGGGAGATGACCTGTACAAAGCTGAAAGAACGGTAGGGTTGAGCCCTAAATCTGGATCAAATTGCATCAGCTGTAGAGCAAACATCCGCTATGTCGTTACGTAAAATTTTTGATTTTTCTGCTCTATGTTTCAGATATGATTAGTAATATTCGGTATTATCTTATAATGTAGACAAATTTTTGCTTCGAAAGATAATGCAATTAAAATATTGAAGGGCAGAAGTGACAGGCTTCGATAGAAGGATGAGGATACATTATGAAAATTAGATTGTTATTTAGACTACGGTATGTAGCAGTCAATTTACTTAATAGCAGGGAACAAAACTGTCAGCCACCGCCTTAAAGTCGCGTCTTCCCTATTATGTACATTTTCCTTCAATGTCTTCAGCTTGGCCCTCTTCGACATTTTTATAATATATTTTTTGTTTGGTCTTAAGAAGTTATAATATTCTGACGTTCTTTATGCATCTGCAAAAATCATTTTACGTATATCGTATGTACCACATATTTATATTTATAAAATGACTTTTCCGAATTTTCTAATATAACCGAAAAGATCCGTCACTTATACTCAGACCCTGAATTTAGCTTGCGGCCATTAAGCTTACGGTTTTCCAAGCCGAATAATAAACTTGGACAAGTTCTATTAGACGTGCACTGCCAGATACAATGAAATGTTTCTCGTTTCTGCGACTCATTCATCAATTTAGCACTTTAACGGAGGACCGACTAGATACGGTGCCGTTGATTTTCTGTACGAATTTTCTTTGGCAACAACGAAGGTGTGTATTTATACAATGTAGAAGAAGAAACTTAGAATTTCCGTAAATTCTTATTAATATATGCATGCAGGAAAGTAGATACTGTTTTTTAAATAAAAGAGATTTATATCTCTCTTTAATAAATAAATAGAAAAAGGATTTGCTGTAGATTTAGAATTTCAAGATAAATGCGATAGAAAATTGAATCTCCGTTACCACAAAGTATTATCGGCAAATTACGCTCGTGCATGTTACGCAGAAATTATATCGCGAGCACGCATCGAGTATTCTTACGTCAACGGTCTCCTTACTCTAAGCTTAACGTTATGTACAGAGAAATTAATGGTCGCAGTTTTTAATCGCAGTTTCAAATAATTGAAAATCATTTGTTGCATAATAAAAAAAATGTGATATCGATTAAGTAAAGAAAATAAAACAGTCGACATGAAGGAAGTTCTTAATAATATTAGCTGATTATGAGTTAAGAGAGGCAGAGAGAGAGAGAGAGAGAGAGAGAGAGAGAGAGAGATTGACATTTTTAATTAGCTTCTATAAGACATGTGAATGTATCCTCAAAGACACATTTTATGAGACACTTTGATTATATTACCATTATAGTGCATTATTTGATAGATTTTTCAAATAAAAGAATTTTTATTATATAAAAAATTATTTAATATCAGACGTCATCTAAATATCTACAGCAATGTAGCAAAATAGAATTTTATGATCGTAGCTGCGAAGTGTTCTCTTTCGATAAATCGTAACAACATCGTTGTCTTTTAAATTCCAGATGATTAAATTATCACAAGACACGATGCGCGTATTTATTTAGGAACTCGGATAGTTGGCGTTGATGCGGATAATCCAGACATTATGTACAAATCAAATACAGCTGGATCCGTGAAATCGGTGCATCAATGTGTTAGTAAAAAAATCATTATGAGTTACGACTAAAAATGTCTTATATAGATAGTTATTTCTATCGCCATTATTTTCGTTTCACAATCTGCGTCTCATCTTAAATCTAGAAAATTCTGTGAATTGTAGTAGGAAAAGCATCAATGCCCGTATCTCTGTCCTCTCTGTAATATAATACACAAGCATCTTGTATTCTGCTATGTTTACTATCACCTTTCCTTACGTCATACTATCCCTATAGCTTTTAGCCTTTGAATAATATTTGAATTGCGTAATGTTTCTTGAAGAGGGAGACTATCGGCACATAATAGTACGTATAAGTGCAGATGATCATCATGGATGATCTTGTACGATCAAGAGATTGACTTCACATAAATAGCTATCACTTTTTTTAAAACGCGAATCGAAAAATTCATATATCTTTGTGTACAATACATTATGTTCATGTAAAAATCATATGACTAGCCGAAATTGTATTCTAATCTATATGATTACGTATGTCAAGAATTTAAGAAACGCAAACAAAATTTTCTGAGCCATCTGATCCATCTAAAATTTTTTCCAGAGATAATATATCTAGCCGCAAGTTTATCATAAAAACTGACAAAACAATTTCGTCGACATAGTTCCTTCTATTCGCAACCCTCTGTCAGTCATGCCCCGACGGTCGCGTTGATTTCAACATTATGATAGGTAATATCCTGAGTCACAGTCGCGTACGAAAAGGCAATGTTGTGTACCATAATACGACGTACGTGTGGAAGGGCTGCGTGCAGCACATTCGACATTCACACTCCGGGTTCCCCTGCGTTTACGTTTAGGTGTGTTTGTGCGTTCATGAGTATGCCCGAAGCACTTCCCGGTGAAATTAGGCTCAGCACGACACCTCGTGAGAGTCGTTGATAAGTTTCGCGCGCTTTCTTCGCAACTCGCCCCCAATTGGCGCAGGTACTGTTGATTGGGATATGAAGAGCTTTTTCACGAAATCCTTCATTCAAATCGCTATGTCGATTTAATAAATTTCCAAATCTTGTCATTTATTTCTATAAATTAATTGCAAAGTTTGACCATTTCATCCTCCATAAATTTAAACTTTAGTGACATTAAAGTTAAAGTAAGAAGAACTATTATTATCGATCCCCATGAAGTGATACATATATTATTAAATTCAATCGAAAATTGTTAACAACTAAACATATGAAGTAGAGTTCATAATATCATAATATCATTGAATAATAACACCCTGCTTGCGACTAAAAGTAACGTGTAAATACTGTCTACGGCAATTGAGCTGCGTGAAGGAAGATTACACAGCCAGCCGTCGGCGGTGCGCGGAAATGAAAATTACCGTGAGGCGAGACACGTGGACAGCGTCGGCGGCGGCGATTCAGGCGGTTGTCGGAGCCCGGCCGAGCGGATCTGTCGGGCCGCGCTCGGACAGGAGTAAGCGGTGGCAGCCAGCGCTGCCAGCGCGTTGAAGGGGATGGCAGGGGGAGGCGGGGGGAGAGGGGGTCAGCCAGAGGAGGGTCAGTTGCTGCCAGGGTTGTGTTGCGGGATCCGGGGTTGCCGGGTTCGGCGGGTGGCAGCCCGGGTGGAAACACGCGAACGATCCTCTGATCCCCTCGCGAGATATCGGGCCACTCACTCACGCGTCCGCCGGCGACCCTTGCGGAGCGGCGCGCAACATGCCCAGCCAGTTGTTCGACTCTACCCACAATCTCTGCCTTCTCTCTCTTTCTCTCTCTCTCTCTCTTTTTCTCTCTTTCTGCTTTTCTCTCTTTCTCTCTCCTGTTCGACTTTCCTTCCTTTTTCTCCTTTAATCGGACATGTCCTCCTTCGTGTTTATCTCGCTTCCTTCCCCGTTTAGCCTATGCGTCTCTCTATCTTCAGCCGAAACTCTCTTCGTACTCTTTTTCTGTTTCTACGTATCTTTATTCCTCTATCGTCTTTCCTTCACTTTCTCTTTCTGTCGTACGTTTTATTCCCTTCACTATGTCGTCTTCTTGGTCTCTCCCAAGTTCAGGGCTGGCGTGCACGTCCAGCGACACCCCGTTTTGTGGTTTAAGTCCCGCAGGATAACTTGATTAGAGATTTTCTGGAGAGTTTACATTTAGCAAGTACTTATTGCATCTGCTGGGATAATTCGAACCTTGCCGGTCAGCGAATTATTGCGTTCGTGCGAGCATAGTCACGAAGCATTTTTGTTCATCAATCGATAAAACGGTACGTAGTGCCTTGTTTATGCACAAGTAATATGTTGCAATATAGCTCGTTGCAGGGAAATTTTTCGTGACTAAAACATCTTTCGTATCAGAAATGTAAATAATATTTGTGTTTCCACGGAATTAATTTAATATCATATATGGTATTTATAAGTCCTACAAATTGTTATGTGAAATAACAAATATGTCTATATCATTTCGCTTTAATTAAAATATAATATGCTATACGTTACAATCTTTTCCTATGTATTTGTTTTTTATGTATTATATAATTAATTAATCATGAATGAATTTGATTACTTAAATGCACACGAAGAGAACGTAAGAAAGTCGACACCATCGAGCTGATGGTGAATTTGAACCTTGCCGTAATGCCGCCCCTGTATATATTCGGTCAGGGCGTCGATAGCGACATGCATATTTTAAGTCAGCCTAAAAGGTGATAGTCTTCGAGGAAGCAGGCTAACGCCGAACGTGGGAAGTAATTTATGAAGTGTGTTCGCGATAAATATTGTTTATTTCATATTT